GATCCTTGTAGATGCTAAATCTACCTTTGAAAATTCCTGAATTCAAACTAGGAAATATTCGGTTTGGATACAGTGGATGTATGCCCTTGGCGTCATCTCCTGGTGTTTGATTGGTAAACGCGCTCCCAGCGTCAAAGCTTGTTGCGTGGGTTCCGGCGCATCCGAAACGCTATCAGTATTAGACCTATGGACTTTTCGAACTCGGTCCTTTGAGCTGCGTTGATGCCCTCGTCCGCGCTTTCCTGCCTAAACAGTGTCTCGTGACTGCTAAGATCTCAGACACTCGAACTTTTGCCATATTGTAATTGGCTCACTTACTGCAGAGTTCTTCTCCTTTCGTTTAGCCTTGAGGCTCTTGCTTTCCTCATTGGGATTTGCAGTCGAGCCCAGAGTCAACCACTCGTTACGCACAGTCCGACGAGGGGGTCGTATTTGGCCGACAAAAAAAGCAAAGGTCCGCAATAGATAGGTGAGGGGCATAACTTTCGAGCGCTTCTCCAACTACTATTAACCACAAACGAGTGCATGGCGCACCTCAGAGCAGAAGAGTCTACTGCAGAAGTGTCCATATTTGACTGTTCACGTACACAAATATGCTCTCGAGAGAAACCAATGTCTTCAAACTGGACCTAAGTTAGTAAAAGAGTGACCACTTGGGTAGATTGACTGCTAAAGGCTTGAAAGAAAAGTTTGGGAAAAAATGTTTGCCTGTCGCCGACTCCCTGAAAATGGTTTAGCACGTTGACGACCGCGTGACGCGGTAACGCGTCCCACCCAAGTCATCCCTTTTTCTTGCGCTTGCGCGACTTATTCCTAAGGTCTTTGTACTCATTCTATAGGCCATACATTAGCATACTTAAAACCACATGGCTCACAGAAAGGCCAAATATTCTTTAGTTTGGCAGAGGTTTTCCAGACCTTACGAATATATCTGTTCAGTTCATTCCTCGTTTTCTTTTCATTAACGTGAACATGTGATAAAAAGAATAATAGAAGTGAATACAAACCTATTCGTATGGAAGATATGTGTTTTTACTGAAACAACCACGTCCAAATTAATTTTGGAACCACTAAAGGGAAAGTAAGTAAAATTTGCCTTTTCATGGCCTTAACACGTCATTTCGGTCGAACTTCCATTACTGTAACTCCCGATAAGTTAGACAGACTTAACATTACGAGACTACTTTGTTGTTGATTGAAATGAAACACTTCCAAAAGGTTTTATTTGACGAAACAATGAAACTTGGGAACCCTATGATCTTAATAGATCGAACATTATTGAAAACACTTCATCGCATCTAAGTATTGCGTATTTACAGCTCAAAATCCATGGATTTGGTGTGCGGCGGCGGCGCTCGCAAAATCGCTCTTGTCCCACGCGGTGCAAAAAGCAAAACGCGATGTCGTCAACGTGTTAGTATCTTCTATGAAGCACAAAGCTTGTGCGATGTCATGGTACCATTACTCCCCATAAAATTGAGTTTGAAGAGAGCTGTGAGTGTTTGAGTGTTGAAAACTCGTGTTTTCAGGAGAGTAGCTCCGAAATTCATGAAAAAAACGGTCCAACGGGACGATTTTTTGAACAGATCATTTTCGGAAAGGATTTCAAGTATTCACTAAAAAGCTACAACCTTCTGGTCTCTTTCAGGTTGCCAAGAATTGCAAAAAGTTCAATCTGAAGAAAGTTATAATCATTGAAAGCGTTTTTTGAAAGGTTTTTTGAAGAAGTGAAACTTCATAAAAGTTTGAGTACTTTTTATACAGAGAACAATCTAGAGTTTCAAAATTTTGTTACACTACTTACATTTCTCACACTTTCTTATTTAAAAAAATTACAACCTTTCAAATGAAGAAGTGCGCATTTCTGTGAATTCTAATTCTCTACCCCATAACTAAAAGAGTTCTGGAGATACTGCATAAACGTGGTAGTTTTCTGAAACTAGCAGTCTCGTAGATTACAAATCTACTTAGCGTTTTGAAAAATATTGAAGTTGAACAGAATTACACTCTTTGAAAATTAGTAGTCCGCCTCGGTCTATCCGCGCTGGGCCGAAGGAAGATTGTGCGCGCCAATGCAAACGCGACGCTACCGCGCTCAATCTGGTGTAACGCTCTAAGCATTAATACGCAAACACACACAAATACCAAGTGTATAGTACATAATAAGTGTTTGGGGAGGATCGTATCGGGACTCTCTATGAGGAAAGGGTCGTAAAATTTTTGAATTTGGTCCAACGTGACGGTTGACGTGACCCTGCATCAACTGCAAAGACAAAAGTCTTCATCCGCAGTGTTTTCGGCTTTTTCCCCTTGTTCCCTCAGTGGCGCTCTACTTTGCGCCTCTATCGTCAATTTTGATGTGGTGAAGACGATGATCATCGTCATTGGTTGGTAAGAGGTCATCGCACCACCATCTGACCGCGATTAGTGCCTTTGAAAAGTACCGCAAGAAGGATAGTTTCAGGACTGTAGGCTATTCTGACAGGAAAAAGTTCAATAAAATAGTACCGCAAGAAGGATAGTTTCAGGACTGTAGGCTATTCTGACAGGAAAAAGTTCAATAAAATAGACGAAAGAAATAGGAATAATTCATTCCATGCGCTGCAGTCACCGCGTGCGGCGGCGGTTTCACGGGCTCGCTCGCAACCGATCCATTCTGAATTGTCGTGAGTCTTTTACAGTTTCTCATCTCCAAGTATTTGCTTTTTTTTGCTCCATTCCGTTTAGGCATTAAAAGACTGGTGACTCGATTTTCATACGCTATTTTTACTGCTGATTGTTTTATTGGATGATTCTATAGATGAGATGTATGTATTGATTGATTGCAGATCGGGCCGAGCCTCTGTCGATCCGATTTGATCCCTAATCCTTTCGAGTCTTTCTATAAATTTAATTCAGTTTCCTCATTTGAATCCCCACTTCATTCGCTTCAGCCTATCGTATCGGAATCACAGCCTGCATTAGGTAGCAATTTAGACCTTGTAGCTGATTCTGCGTCGTTGCGCTGTTAGGACACGAGCGTTCCTAGTTCGATTTCATTGATTTGTTTGATCTCCTTCATCAATACCCATACTGTTGCATAATGGCTGGCAGAAAAACAAGGCAAAATCCTAAACAATCTTCCCAAAGAGCGTCAAAGTCAAATGTGTCATGCCTAGAAGATACCATGAATGGTGCGTAGCAGAACTACCGCGCGTGTTCCAGTATATGAGATCATTAATGCAGTACTGGAACGCAATACTGACCCGGTTATCAATGAAACGATGCTAGTTTTGCAGGACAAGCTGACCAGCGCCGTCTCCTCTGCAAATGAGGACGATCGTAGGGGTCGGAGTGTGATTATAGCAGGACTCCCGGAAGAGTCGCGAGACCTGCCGGCTTCACATCGACAGATAGACCTTAAGGACAAGGTATCAGGTATACTCGATGTGCTTGATGTGGAATGCAGGCCTGAGTCGGTGTACCGAATGGGGTCGTATTCTGTGTCAAGGAACAGATTAGTTAAAGTTCGTTTGCCTTCCAAGTTTCACTGGGGTAGAGCTCTTTCCAATTCATACCGACTGCGTCAATCAGGTATGATATCTATATAAGACGTTGTATGTCCGCAGAAAAACGAGCGTCAGAACTCAAGTTGCGGGAAGCAGGCCAGGGAACAGAACAAAGGGTGTAAATCAAAGGAATGGTGGTGTATAAAGACGAATTGAAGCGACTCAGTGAGCTGACACTTAAGCGCGCTTCGGGAAACTTCTCAGCGGGCGCAATTCCGCTATAGGCCTGATACACAGCCCTCCTTCCATTCTGAGGCATGGTTCTCCCGATAAACTACGATGTTTTTCACTAAATTTTGGTAAACAAAATGTCACTCTTGCATGCGTTCATTACTATCCACAATCTTGACATATTACAGGAACTTGGCTTGATGGTAAAATTGTTGATGGCTAAGTTTTAGGTGGTCTGAATATAACATTATACGAACAGATCGGACTTGCCGGATAGGGGCGGTGTACGCTGCTTCATCAGCGGAAATATTTCTATCGAACCGCACCCCAGCCTCTCCAAGAGACTGTTTTCTGATGTGCTATGCATTGATATAACTCTACGGGATTCTTTTGAGCCGCTACGATTCGTCTTTGTTTATCGTCCGCCAAGCTCTTCCAAAAATGATGACAATGAGTTAATCGAAGTCCTTTATGACCTGTGTTCAGTGCAATATCCCCTTATAGTCGTGGGTGACTCCATTTTGAATATGGATTGGGCTCATGGCAAGGCGTCGCCATTTCAATAGTCTTATGAACCCCCTGAATGGTCCAATGTACAAGAAAGTTTGCGACGACTTGGACTACCACATCAAAAAATATATGGCTTATCGTGAACGACGCCTATTTCAACTAAAGATCTCTTACTTTTTGAATATCTTAGATGCAAGCTTAGACGTGCAGTCAAACCCTCTATCGTTATGGAAGATGAGGGCCAGTGTCTCAAGTCCACCAAGGAACTTGCGGTAGCCCTCGGGCAGTATTTCGGTAGCGTATTCACTGAATGCGGCAAATGCTTAGGCGATGGTGAACAAACTAGTCTGCCCACTATTCAAAAGAACGTTGATGCTTTTGGAGATTTTACATTCCGGCCATCTGAGGTTCTCAGAGTCTTGAAGAAATTGAAAGTCTCTTCCTTCTGCCACTTACGATGGCATCCCTCAGGTCGTGTTCCGAAAATGCTGTCATGCCTCTTCAACATCCTCTTACGTTTATTCTCAATGCTTCCTTGTATTTTGGTGAGGTTCCCTCGATCTGGAAAGATGCCCTAGTGACTCCCATCCCCAAAGTCTCCAACCCCACCAAACTTATCCCATTTCCGACCGATAAGCATTTGTCCTGTGGTGGGCAAGATTATGGAAAAAATCATCTGTGAGAAGCTAAGCGGATGGCTTTTAGAGAGAAGGCTGATTCCAGATGAACAACATGGCTTTTTACCTGGGGCATCAACAACTACACTTTTGTGCGACTCACTTTTTGACTGGTTTACTGCCCTCAACAGCGGAAAGTCTATTGACATTATATATTTTGACCTGACGAAAGCGTTCGATAAGGTCTGTCATCGTAAACTATAGAAAAACTCGAATTGCAAGGTATACAAGGGCTTCTAATTTGGCTAAAATCTTATCATGGCAGGCATATGACGGGCAAATATGACAACGAGTTTTCAGAAAGATATCCATGCACAAGCGGAGTTCCCCAAGGAGGGGCGCTTATCACCACTACTATTCTTGGTGTATACAGCTGATTTACCAAAAATTCTCAAGGTTCACCCCAGCATCGTGGTTAAGATGTTTGCCGACGACATCAGAGTTTACTGTGCTTACGACAGTCATGAGCAACCTGTAGCACACAAGGCCCTGAGCTTGGCTATTGAAAAGATGATGGGTTGGTTCTCACGCTACCCCTCAACTTGTCTGAAACCTCACATTTACATTTGGAATCGTCTCCCACAATACCGTATACACTAAATGGTATCGGAATTGAAACTGAAAATTCTTCTTGATGAATCATTAACTTTTGAAGGCCATTCTGAAAAGGTATCTAGGAAAGCACTCAGCTCACTCTTTCTTATTTTGAGAAATGTCCACAGCATCAACCCTGCCTTACTTGTCAGACTTTATAAGATATATATTACCATTGGAATATGGTGTGGAATCCATATCTGATGACGCAGATAAGCCGGCTGGAAAAAGTCCAAAAGATTTTCACAAGGATAGTCTTTTACAGATCTTTCCCAGACCCAAATTACCCATATGCTCTCCCATCTTACAAGGACCGACTCATCATCTTGAACATGAAGAGTTTGAAGTATAGGAGAGTTTTCAATGATTTGGTATTTGGTTTTCGCATTCTAAAACGAGAAGTACGACTTAATGCCAGCAAATATTGGATCTTCCGCCCATATCGAAGGAGAGAGAGTGGTTGTGCCATCCACTATAGGAAGTTGGGTCGATATTGTTTCAATGCAACTTTCAATTCATTTTTCTTTCGCACAGCTAGATGGCTCCGTTTGCTGCCCACAACTTGCTCTTGTGTGAAAACTCGCACCAGTTTCGATTGCAGCTGCGCAAGATCGACATTTTGGAGGTTTTGAAAATCCACGATTCTTGCTAGTGGTAACACCTACGTATTCATAGCATATATAAAAAACCTAATAGATTCACAATGTTCTTTTCCGGTTTGGCTTTGCTTCAGGTATTCGATTCATTGCTCAGTTATGGCTAATGGTCATTAGCTCATCCTGGAGTTATGGACTCGTACCGATTGTTGTGCTTGTTGGATCGGGTTGTGCGCATCGGATTCGGAACACCTGTGGACCTTTGTTGGCCTTCTTTCGCAAGTCGTCAAATCTCTCTAATGCCTGTCGCCTCTGTCGCCTACGTCAAGCTACCTTTCATCCATACTATGAGATGGATGTTGCCATTACTTCTGTTTTTTGCTATGTACCAGCTGTTTGTTTCCAGGCACTTGGTAGCAGGGTGAATATCGGTCGAGGAATTCCTCGACGGGGGGTCGTATTTGCCCTCTGTGGAAGGCGGAGGGGGGTCGTAATTTTCGGTATCAGTATCGAACGAGGCGTGGAATCCAGGTTTGAGAGAAGTGGAAAGGGGCGTCTTCCCATCTCTCTCATTGAAACCTCAACGCCTAAAGGAACGTAACAGGATTCATTCTTTGCAAGTTTCACATAAAAAACGAAATCTAGTGGGAGGAGAGCAACCTTGTGTCGAATTCAAAATGTAGAAAGCAGTAAATGCAAGCCTAGCCATTCTGGTCTATGTAATCAGTAGCATGGGCAGCGCAGTCTCGTAGCATAGAGGCTGCGGAATCCCGTAGAGCCCAGGGCTACAGGACTCTGCTTGATTGATGGTTCTAAGTACGGGCCAGAACGGCACTTGAGTTTTGACTGGAGGGCGGCCGAGCCTGGAACGGAGCCGTCAATGCTGCCAGAGAGGCGTTGAAAAGGAAAGAGCAAGCAAGTGAGGCTGAGCCGTGGTTATAAGAATTCCCACGTTTAATCAGAGAACACTTCGGTTCTTATCAGCAAGTCATCATGAACACCTTTCAATTGACTTAAAATACGAGCGAAGACCGACGGCATGGCGTATACTCGACCGAAACTAAATAGCGCTGAGCGTATCTAGTTGTATCAGCGACAGCGAAGCGATGCGTACCTAAGGCATTTTGAGAGGTTTCAATGAATTCCTAGCAATGATGTGGAAGGAATCCGGTTTTTGAGTGAAAAAAAATTCCTCGACATTTCCTCGACGCAGATTTCTCTTTAAGTAGGAAGTTTTCGAAACAAGTCAGGCAACCATTTGAAAGAGCAATTCTTCTACTTTCTAAAACTGTCCACACTTTCCGAACAATTGAGAATTAAGAAAGTTATCGTCTTGAAAACAGCAAAAATCCGCATGAAAATTTTGAGTTCCTCGACGTTTACTCGACGTGGAAAATCTCACTGAATAGGGTATCTTCAGAGCAACTTCAAAGATAGTAAAAAACTGCAATCGAAGCTCTTTCGAAGCACACAAACAGTTCTCCAAAAGATCAAGTTTCGAAAAAGTTATTAAGGTTTGAAGCATAAGGGAGGAGGCAAATTTTCGAGATAAATCGCTCCACCGCGTGAGCCGCGCCGCAGCCGCGTGAGGAATCAGCTGCCCCTTTAAATTCGGTGACACTTTCATTGCTAGGTCCTATTCATCATTTTTCTCCGTTCCTGTCGATCATCCTTCGTGTAACGTGTGTACACGTGAACAATCGCCGCTGTTACAATAGGAGAATGTTTTGTTTTTCAGGATTCCTTTGTTAATAATAGCTTTCGCGCCGTAGTCGCTGAATAGAGGTGAGTTCTCCAGTTTGTCATTGACACACAATTGCTAATGAATTTTTTAAAGATTAGTTTGCTTTCACCATCGCTTTGTTCTGCTTTTGATCAGTGAGTGTTTTGATTTCATGACTGATTTACTTAGGGGGTCGTACCGAGACCCGCGTTTTGGGCGGGGTCGTATCACAGTTGGGTTTTCCTCGACACGTTTTTCACCCTGCTTGGTAGTGCCACCGAAAAAGAGCCCTGGACATTTCTGCTACATATCACTCATCTCCATTATAGTTACAGCTTTATGATGTTCCGCATCCTTGCTGGTCAAGCGGTTTCTTTTCTAAGTAGCCCCTGCTCCAGTATAGAACTATCTTCTCTGTACTTTGCTGCTTCTGATTCATGGTTCCTTTGCTACATAATCGGTACGAACGCTGTCCGACCATCAAGCACGAGAGGAGGGGTGTGGTATACTGCTCAGGTCGGCTCAGCTTTGCGCATAACACTTACCTAGCTTGCCGATTCCACGAGGGTGGTCGGTTTCGGAGTTTCGGTAAGCTCCTATGACCCCTAGTGGCGAGCGGGCATCATAATGGTTGATCGTCTTACTTTAAACTTATACCCTCGTTAAAGCCTGAGACCGTTTTAAAACTAGTGCTGAAATCCCCTTTACATTCCACCATTTCTTAAAGTACTGCGAACCGCTTGGCTTGCAAACTCATACGTCTCTTCTCCGCTTTTTTATCGCTGGTTTAGTTACTGATATTTTTGATAGTTTGTTGGAAATTTTTAACTTCATGCTATTTCTAATTTTATGGCGTGTTCAAGCACAAATAAATAAATAAATAATAAATAATGAAAAGAATAAATAATAAATATAAGATATAATAAACAAAAATAAATGAAAATAAATAAGTAACTAAATAAATATATAAATAAATAAATAAATAAAATAAATAAATATAAAATAAAATACAAGAAGAGACATGAGACATAATTCCAACTTACGCGTGTACTTTACAGTTGTGTTCTTCTCATAATCTCGAAACTTTTCATAGCACACATAAGAATCGTATGGGTAATTGATGTCACTGATGAGGCACGATACCATTAACATAAAACGAAAATCATGTGAAACTTCACCATTGGAAGTAAAGACGAGACGATCTGAGTACAAATTCGATGCGCTCCTGCAATATGATGTCAAAAGAAGTATAACAGAAAATTAAATACCAGGAACTACACTACTCAATAGAACTCCAGCCGGGTCGATCCTGTCTTGTTTTACAGCAAAAGCGTACCGTTGAATAAACCATTATTGACTCAAATCATGCTTTGGGATGCGCCACGTTTCTACTCCCATTTGAGTGAAGCGTGTATCCGAATACGGTTTGGCTTATATTAGGCTGAGTCATGAGTAATTGCCGATTTCTTCAACCCACGCCATTTTTCCCAGAAAACGTTTGTATTGTTCCCCGCAGAGCAGTATGTGGCGACCTAGTGTCCTTTCATATTACGAAATTTGACCGTGTAGAAATTTGACTCAGTACTCGTCTTTTGGGAGAAATAATGCCGTTCTCTTCAACACATGTTCGTCACTGTCTATTTTACGAGTTCCGCCTGGGGCACTCAGCAGGAGGAGCCTGTCGGAATATTTGTGTATCTGGAGGACCAGACTCGCTAAATGAGAATAAAAGTGGTTCGGGAAGCTTCGCCAGGGCGACTATAACCCTGAAGACCGACCATGTTTTGGACACCCAATGGCCGTAGATATTGAACGCATGCAAGAGCTTCTTGAAGGCAACCCGGTACCAGTACCCGTCAAACTGCAGTAGACCTTCAGTCCTCCCAGTGCACCATGTGTCGTTCCCTCTGAGCCATGGAGAAATTGTACACACTGGGAAGATGGAATTCTCACGAGTTGGACGAGGTGGCTCGAAGGACACGTGTGATCATCTCACAAAGTTTGCTGCATAAAAGCCGTTGTTTCGATCGGCTTGACAAGGGGTCACTGGGGTTGAGGAGTGCGCAGTCTAGCCAAGCAACCTACGGAGGCATCAGTGGGAACGTGCAGCTCAGCAGCGACAACGAGCCCCAATAGGTGAACTTCACCCGGAGTAGGTTCCGCTCTCCGATTGTAGGATTGCTTCATTACAGACTTCAAACAATACCACCACTGCTGGCGCAGACACCTACTGCTACCACATACTGCTTACAGCTGTATAAACGTGTTTCGATATCGCATAGTTGAGGTTTCCTACACATGAAATTGTTCCTCTGCGCGGCAGCTCACACGAAACGAGGGAATGCCAGAATACTATACAGAAACTTGGTCTCATGATTCTCCCCCACTCTTTCTAATCCACATAGGTATAGCAACCAATCACCAGTTGCTCCGCTTGCTTGCTCGTTTCCTTAACGAGAAAAACTACGATGATGGCGACCACCTCAAAACAGACATCCACTGATTCTTGACGTCGAAGGTTGCGTAGTTTTGTGAGAGAGGTATCCATTCACTTGCGGATAGATAGAGGACACTTGTAGACAGCTGTGGTAAGATAGGGCACTAAACCAAGGTGGTTCAAAAAAAGTTGTGAACTTTTGAAAAATTTGTTAAGTCGGCAATTACTTATGACTCAGCCTAATACAATGGCATGGGGAATCTGCTCCCTAATCTGCATACGCGAGGGTTTTCGTCCTCTAAAACAATTCTGCTAGCGGTATCGACCTCAGAGGTCTGCTTGGCTGGTTGGCAGGATTCGGTGTAGCTGTGCTTCCGATCGATACGATCGAAAGTGTTTTCCTTTGTCCTTTCACAGAGATGTTTTTCTTATCGGATAGCTGATGGTATGAGATTGCTTTAACACGTTGGTTTTTGTTCGTCACTGAGTGATCGCCACTTTATTTATAAGGAGAACTAGAAGTGCTTGCGTGGATTTGTCCACCTTACTGCGGTACTTTGACTACCTCTACAACAATCTGCCGACATCATTCTTCTAGTGCCACCTTCAAAATTTGACAAAAATCTGGCAGCCGACGGTAGTGTGGATCAGGTGCTGGAGGAAGAAGGCTCGGGTCAACGCTGCATGGATGAAATGGAGGGAGTCCACTGGAATCCTCTGCGATCGAAGGTGCTCCAGAGCGCTCAAAGGGAAGGTGTACCGGACAGTGGTAAGGCCTGCGATTGAGATGGGCCTGCGGCTGGACGCGGCTGGACAAGGTTAGAAACGAGGACGTCAGAGCGGTCATGCAGACTGCCCCTGTCCAGCTGAAGGTACGGGAACAGCGTCTGCGATGGTATGGGCACGTGCTAAGGAGGCCACAGGACCGATAAGAACAGCGATGGACTTCGAAGTGCAAGGCAAGCGACCGCGAGGAGCCCCAAAGAAAAGGTGGAAAGACGTGATCAAGAAGGACCTAAGTGAAGTCATGGCCACAGCAGAAGATGCCCTGGACAGAGCAAAGTGGCGACGACTGACAAAAACAGCGGACCCTGCGACTGCGCGGGACTAACGCTAGGGAGAAGAAGAAGAAGGTTCATGATCTTATTTTCCGCTCAGAAGCTGTTGGTCAGGATGTCCATAGTTTGCGCTATCGCATGGCGTCAATAGCTTAATCTTCGCATTTATTACTTGCATTTCGCTGCGTCACCACAAAATGGGAAGACCATGACGTTACGCGCATAGGGTAGGCGGCATGAACTACAAAAATTTTCGAAAATATTCACCTGAATGTAAGGAGCTTGAAGCGATTCTTGATGCTTGGCACCCATAAACCTGCATAGACATGCCGAAAATCGCTTGGTGTTAAAGCAGCATCGATGCTGAAAGTTTTCTGGCTATCATCGCTCGGTAACCATGACTTTCGTGTGTCTGTCCAGCTCTGAAATAATATCGTCGAAAAAAAGTTGTACTCCTAGCTAGGAGAGAAGCTACCGAGTGCGTGCGTTCTCTATAGAGGTTATCGACATCATAAAAATGGAGGAGTAAAGAAACGTTCGACAGTAGAATCATAGCAGCGGTTCGAATTCTGTTGCATCGCATATGTACAATGAAATCATGAGAAGTTGTTTTTCAAATCAAAAGAATAGCCCAGGATATCATGAGATTGAACAAAAAATTCATTGTTTTCAAACGCCTCACCAAGGTTGTGGTTCCATGAACGTGGAGCGTCGCGCTTTTGAAGTCCTATAACGTCGTCGATTGAATGAACATATTACATACAAACTGCTTCATTACGTGAATATAATAGTTGGGATATTTCTTAATTGGAAGAATAGTGTTGTTAAATATCCAATGTTGGTTTCTATCTTTTTTTTTAGCTGACTATCATCAATATCATTGCAGAATACATCATTTGATGATTACCACGCCTGCATACAACTGCCTTCATCTTCTCACAACTGAGTGGGCACCTCTTTATTAGAATTGTGCATAGTTCGATAAAAGAACTGATCTGTAGTTTGTTTCATAGTACTTGATCTCCATCATAGAACCGCAGTTAAAAGATTTCTCTTGGTGAACTTGCAACATTGCGAGGCCCGCAAAGTCCTCAAAGCTGCGAGCAGCATAGCTATCATTGGAAGTCTAAGGGATGCACTTCAACATACGAAAAGAACAACCTACTTCGAGTAAGGTCACATTTTGACGGTCACCCGGATTCTGTTCACAGTAAGGGCACGGGTTGTAATTAGGCGGTCAAAGGAACCCCTTCATCAGTACTGTGGCTGGGTCTGCAACCACTGCGGTCATGCCGCGCTCGTAACTCGAAACTGAGGTAATAGCGCCCGGCCTTGTGCAGAGTGGCGAAAAATGACGTGCGCCATAAAAGACACCCAACCTTTATTTTTTGTATACAAAAATTAAAAATTTTATAAAATAAGGGACCAGAACATTTTATAATTGCATAGAAGATTTAAACTAGCCGCCACCAGTATTCTTACAGGCAGGGTCAAGCGACACGTCGAGGAAAATTTGGAAATACGACCACTCTCCACCAGAGGCCGAAGTCCATGAAGCGACCCTCATCAAAAGCCGAGCTCAAAAAAGCCCTGCTACCCCACCGTCCACCAAAAAATTCGTTTAAGAAGTACAAAAGTGAAAAAGTCAAAGAATGATCATTATTGATGAGTCCTACCAAACGAGCAAACGAGAAACGGAGCAAAAAACGACAAACTAGTCACTAAAAATGGCATACTATGACAACATCTCTTCTTTATTTATTTCCTAACTTTGGAACCTTGGAGCAGCTTATCTACTATTGAAATTTGAACAAATATTCAAATGATTATAACTTTCTTCAAATATGACGAATTTTCAATCTGAAAGCAGATTTGGGAGTTTTGTGAAGAGCTCTTTCTAATCAGTGTTGAAATTACAAAAATTATAAGAAATAACAAATTTAGATCAATTAACGAGGAAAATTCATGATGAGCACGAGTTTTTACACTTTCCGAAGCCATAACTTGCTTCATTTCCGTCAAATCGAAAAGTTAATACGGCATACAAAACTAGAAGATTTTCTCTATCAAACGGTTGCTTAAGCAGCTTCAATACGTTCAGTATTTAAAAAATGGCCACATCGAGGATGATGAGCGCGATTTTTTACCCTTTCCAAAGCCATAACTCCGTTCAAACTCATCCAATCTGGAAAGTTAATACGTCATCATAAACTAGAAGATTTGCTCTATTCAACGTTTACTTAAACTGCTAAATACGTCACTTTAACACATTCACGACGACGCCCCTTTTCCACTTTTCGGTCGCGTGGGACGGACGCGATTTTGTGGGCGCCGCCGCCTCACCACATAACCGCAGATTTTGTTTTGTAAATGAACAAAAACATGAATGTCACAAAATAATTTCTGCAATGTCCAATGCGTAAAGATTATCTAAACATATAACAGTAGGATTTCGATCAGAACGACAAATAGTGGTTACGAAAAGAGAGCATTTATTCACTTTCCCCGTGAAGGAATTTAAAAGCATTTTACACTCGATTACGAGGTTTGCCCACCTATCTGTCCATTCCTAGCGCCTGGCAAGCGATTATCAGTTGGCAGCCCATATGGGCTGCCATCGTCCCAGGAGCGCATGTTGTTGGCAGCCCATATGGGCGGCCATCGGCGTGAATGTGTTAAAAAATGCCACGGCGAGGATTTTTGCCCGAGTACCGCCGAAAGGTACTTTTTCGCTACATTGGCACTATTTCAACGACTATAGCTCCTTTCAGGAGCGATTACATACTAAAGTAGGAGCAGATTTGGAATCCTCGTGCTTTTCTCTTTCCAAAAGTGTAAAATTGTTTAGCGAATCTCAACTTTAACACTTATATGTCCTTGAATTTGACGCTGAAGGCTGCGGGTTGTTGAACTGTGGACTCCTCCTGTAATTTCGCACGAACCCTTTCAGAATCTTCTTGATTTTTCCTGAATCGAATTTTCTTTCTCCACGAGAGCCGTG